TTGGAGTGCCCCCTTACATTAAATACAAAAAAAAGAGGGCACTTTGATGGGGATAACTGTTATTTTTATATTGGGGTCCCTATCAGCGTGCCCCTTTACATTGCTTCACATTCCCGCCAATTTTAATATCATCAGCAACATAATTGCATCTGCATATGAAACATGAATAAGCATTTGTACCTTGTAATTAACAGATGGTTCCATGTCAGCAGATCCATCCAACAGACCATCTGTTAATTACAAGGTACAAATGCTTATTTGTGCTTTATATGCAGATGCAATAATGTTGGTGATTATATTAATATTGGTGGGAATGTGACGTCATGATGATGTCAGAGGGGCTTTTGTGATTTTCAATTGGTTTATTAATTCATTTTTTGTATATATTGCTGCACGTATTGGTTTGTGTTCAATCTTTGTTTGCCTGATGAAGGGACCAAATGGGTGTAACGGCCACCGCCGTATACCTTGATGATCGGGAGCCAGCCGCATCTCGGATCCGCCGCTGTGTTCCACAGTGGAACGCACGCTCGTCGCTTACGGGTTCGAAGGCCGGGTGCGTTCCACTCTGGAACGCGGAAGTGCGCCTATCCGTTCGGCGGCTCCTCCCCAAACAGTACAAATGGAGGACTACATCTCAGAGTTCAAACGGTGGAGCAGAGAGACCCAATGGAATAACATCGCTCTCCGAAACCAGTTTCGTCTCGGGCTCTCCGACTTAAAAGATGAGATAGCACGCATGGAACTACCCACCACCCCAGATGACCTCATTATGCACTCCGTCTCCATAGACCGCCGTCTCCGAGAACGAAGGTCGGAGCGTGCTTACTCCTACAACCCTCCTACTACTAGGAGATCCAGATCGCCCCAGAAAGACGAGGCCATGGAAATAGGGGCCATTCGGGGGCCGTTATCTCAAGTCGAAAAGGAGAGGAGAAGAGCCCGCAACCTTTGTTTGTACTGCTCATCTCCAGACCATATTGTCGCTACCTGTCCCCTCCTCAAAAAGAAGATTACAGATCGACCATTGCATGTCCACTGCCTATCACCCCCAAACCATCGGGCAAACGGAACGTGTTAACCAATCCCTCGAGCAGTACCTCAGATGCTATTGCACACATCTCCAAAATGACTGGTCCCAGATTCTGCCTCTCGCTGAATTCGCATATAACAATGCTACCAGTTCATCTACTCAAGTATCGCCCTTCTACGCGAATTATGGCTTCCACCCGAAAACACTGCCCACGTCTTTTCTGCCAACCAATGTTCCCTCATTGGAGGATTACCTCTCCACTTCACAGAAGACCTCGGGGATTCTTCGGTCCAACCTCGAAGCAGCACAGGAAAAACAAAAGCGTTATTACGATTCCCGCAGAACAGCCCCTCCTACGTACCACGTTGGTGACATGGTGTGGCTCTCCGCCAGGAATCTACGACTTAAAGTTCCCTCACGGAAGCTAGGCCGACAGTTCCTTGGTCCCTTCCCAATCGAGAAGGTGATCAATTCAAACGCGGTTCGTCTGACACTACCCCCGGACTGGAAGATACACCCCTCGTTTCACGTTTCGCTCCTTAAACCCTTCAGGCCAAATCCATTCTCTGATAGAAGACCTCCTGCGGCTCCTCCGGTTGACGTACAGGGTGAGGTTGAGTTCGAGGTCGAGCGGATCCTCGACTCCAGGAAGAGAGGTGCTTCTCTTCAATACCTGATAAGATGGAGGTTATGGGGCCCAGGATGACTCCTGGGAGGACTCAGCTGATGTACACGCACCTCGACTGATTCGTGTTTTCCACCGTAGGTACCCTGATCGGCCGGCTCCTGCTGGGAACCCCAGAGGTGTTCCTTTGAGGAGGGGGTCCTGTAACGGCCACCGCCGTATACCTTGATGATCGGGAGCCAGCCGCATCTCGGATCCGCCGCTGCGTTCCACGGTGGAACACACGCCCGTCACTTCCGGGTTCGAAGGCCGGGTGCGTTCCACTCTGGAACGCGGAAGTGCGCCTATCCAATGGGTCCAGAAACGTTGCCATGTTGTAACACCATAGAGATCAATAAAATATTGACTGAACTTGAGCTGGAGTGCGAATTACTTCTTCATATTTATACTGATTTGCGGAGGCATACGTGGTTGCTTGGTACCCACTTTATCCGGTCAGATGTGCGATGGGTTTCTTTTGATTATTGAACCATTACATTGCTTGTCCCCTAATGTAAGGGGGCACTCTGATAGGGAGAACTGATGTAAGGGGGCACTCTGATGGGGAGAACTGGTGTAAGGGGCCACTCTGATGGGGAGAACTGGTGTAAGGGGCATCTCTGATGGGAAGAAATTATGTAAGGGGCCACTCTGATGGGAAGAAATTATGTAAGGGGCACTCTGATGGGAAGAAAGGATGTAAGGGGCACTCTGATGGATGCTGTGGAAGCCAGCCATGATGTAGTACAACTGCATCACATTTACATGCCTATAGAACTTAATGAAATGTCACCTGTGACATTTTAATAAAGTTCTAACAAAAAAAAGTTGGGATCGATACATCAGCACTGTGTCTGGAAAACCACACCAGCAGCTGTGCATTGTAGTGCAGTTGCTGGTGTGAATGCAGCCTAAATGGTGGGCCATGGTGCAGACGCAGACTGGGTGACCATTTTGTCTCCATCACGAGTCAGACCTCAGCTTGAAGAAAATTTTGCTCATCAAAACAAATGTTAATTTTTATCCACTACCACTGGTATATACACCAACATATGCAGATAAATATATTTACCCGGTTTACTGCCCCGGTGTACATTGTAGTCATAACTTATATTGCATAGATAACTTCAAGCCAACAATGTCAACTTCAAATACTGTATTATAAAAAGCAACCATGTGTTATGAAAATACCATTAGATATAAATTCTATAGTATTACATATTAATCCCTGTTAGCTGGACTAACTAATGTCAATTTAAATTTACTTTGCCTATATTGACTGGCCATTGCATGCCCCTGTTATAGTAATATCTATTGAAGGTTTGCCTAAACTCTTAGTTCTCAACTGGAGGGTCGTGACCCAAAAGTGGGTCGCAACCCTGTGTTCAGTGGGTCGCCGCATGCCTTCTTCCTCCTACGTGAGAGACTTCTCAGCCTCCGTCAGTTCTTGTGCCGTGCAGCTATTCAAAGTATGGCCCTGCGTGTCAGCTTGATTGCTTACACGCATTGCTTACAGCTCCCACATGTGCCCTGAAGAGGTGCCTGGACTGCACTGACGTCTCATTCTGGCTCCTGGCACCTCTACAGGGCAAGCAAGGGAGCTGTACAAGCAATGCTCATATGGATGGAGCTCCGTCACAGCACAGCAGCCCACACTGGACCCCAGGCTGAGGATCCAATCCGGTTCTCATATGGTAGGGAGAGGTGGATTTTTGTGTGTGTGTGTGCGCGCAAGATTGTGTCTGTGGTTGTGTGTCTGTCACTGTTTTTAAGGGTCCGTTCACACTAGTAAAGTGCGTTAATCACACAGCCCCATCCGATTAACACAAATTGCACCTACTGCTTGTTCTAATGTGGGAGGTGCATTGTGTTGCCATTAATTTGAATGACACCCCAAACGAACCTCCCACCCACAGTCCGATCGCCTGCACCCTAATGTCATGCATTCCATTGCAGTGCGACTTGGGTCGCAACTTAATGACCAGGGACAAATGTGGGTCCTGAGGTTACACAGGTTGAGAACCACTGGCCTAAACTATGGCTGGTTCACAAATCGTGAACAAGAAAAACTGTAGGTCAAGTTTTCCCATCTAGTAATGAAATCTTACAGCGCACATTGGGAACCTGCCAGCTCACAATAGTAAGTGCAGCAGCTGAGTCTGAAACACGCAGTCCTCCAAAAGGCTCACTGCAAAATATAGAAAAAGTCAGACAGCTCTCACACTTTAGCCAAATAGTAAACCGTATCTTCCTATTGAATGTAGTATACAAGTTACAATCACTCAAGGTCTGCTATTGCATTAAGAGAACCTATCACCTGAGGATTCTATGTCAAAAAGGGAGATGGTTGCTGATCGGCCCCCTACGGCTGGCATTCCCTCCTTGATGTACCTCTATCTACTATTCTATTTCTAATTCTCATGTTTCTTCTCTTTGATAAATTCTTTCCTGATTCTCTTACTTGGAATATATGGGGAAGGGAAGGAGAGAGGGGAGAGAGGGGGGTGAAAAAGGTAAGAGAAATAAATAAATAAAATAAATGTATGTGTGTGAATGTCTGTTTGTATGTACGTATGTATACATGTATGTTCTCATATAGTCTCAATAACCATATTGTCTAAAGACATATACCTTTGGGATCATACTTTATAATATCTGATTTGATTTTTTTCAAGATGTAATTTTAAATGTTTATATGATATGATTAACTTGTAAACCTTCCATAATGCTTAATCTATGTTCTTTGTTATTGAAAAAAAATAATAATAATTAAATAAAAAATTATAAAAAAAAAAAAAAAAAAAAAAAAAGTATAAGTATTGGAAAACCAGTTGGGGTTTCAAATACTTATACTGAAAGCTGTAACTTTGTTACAGACATGAAAGGTCAGTATTCTCAATGCAACAGCAAACATTGAGTGATTGTAACGTTTATGCTATATTCAGAAGGAATATACGGTATACTATTGGGCACACAATGCAGGGTAAATAAATCCATTGGCATGGGCTTTATTTTGGAAAATACAAAGTGCAAATGTGTGCATGGAGCCTGAGAAGTGAATAACAAAGCTGTTGCATACTGATAAATGCAATTCTAAATACAGTGTTGCTTATGCATGATTATGTAAAACTGCTGCAAATAAATACTTCTCCTGTAGAAATTCAAATAGTTAGACAAATGTTACCACTGAAAAATGCAATTCAATACATTTTCCTTGTGCATTACTAAACAATCATGCTAAAATAACAGTTCGTGAATACTTCTCCTGTAGCATTCTATTGTGAAACAAAAATGACCACTTACATCAGAGTCAGAAATGGAAACCCGATTCGACTCAATTGTTGGCCTTCGGACAATTCTTGGTGATGTGTGTGAGGCAGGACCTGTTGCATAAGGGCCGTACGCCTGATTTTGAGAGGGAATGCAGCCACCTGTAGGTCGTTCCTGCAGGGAGAACTTTCTGTTCGAAAGTGTAGGTCGAGATGCAGCTCTTTGGAAACAGCTCAAGTCCCTCTGGTCCTGGGACGATAAAAATACGTCCTCGCTGGTTTCAGAGCTCATTCCATTATTTTTCAACCTATACATGTCTTCTGAAGTCAGCACAACCGATGCGTCTGTTTCTTCATCCACTTCAATAGCAGCAACTCTCTCAGCAAGCTCTGCTGGAGTGTCTTTATTTGGGCCAGAATCACAATCCATTGTGTCAGTGTGGGAAAATTCCAACACAGTCTCTAGGGTATACAATACAATTTCCAAACCAACTACAGCAGATAGTTGTTATTAAGGCTTCTTGTCTAAACAGTCTCTGGAAACAAAATGCAGACATAGGAGAGAGAGGGGGAGAGAGAGAGAGAGAGAAAATCAATATTATTATGCTCAGGAATCTATATATAAACACAAATCATAGCATTATTTAAAGACCAGTGAATATACCTCACAATTTGACTTTTTATTCCAAAGACTGCACAGAACTCCGAGAGAGATCAGTTGCAGTATTCAGGACAGTTTACATCAGTATAGGAAGGGTATTCTTACCGTAAAATTAATTACGTTGGCAAGATGCCAACAATTCTGCCACTTTTGGCGTCATTACTGCTAAGGAGTATGCCCTGGAGGCTTTCATGCTCAATGCTTCTTGCTGACTGTCAGCATAGTACCTCCCTGTGCCATTCCTACTGATTGTTTTACAAACCAAATCTTCTTCCTCCTGTCCATTTTTCTAAGCGACACCATTTGAAATAAGATACAGAACACTGGGCTCATGCAGTCTAATTTTAGAAGACAGTTTTTTAATGCAGGTACTAGGGACTTGTCTACTAAACTAGGCATGTATTCTTGTTCCATGTCTTACACTTTAAAGAGGATCCAAGGTCAGCTATTTACTTTAGGTCCATTGCTCCAAAACTGTGCACAGGTTTTCAAAAGACTGGTCAGAACATTGCAGCTTTGTCTGGATCCCACCAGCTAATGTCCTAACTTCTACTTTGGGGAGACTTTGTATGAGGCTGAGGCATGGACTGGCTACCCCGATAGCCAATCAGTGCCTCTGCCCCATACAAAGCCATAGAGACGAAGTATAGGATGAAAGTGCCAGTCCAAAAATAGTTTGCTTGTTGCATTCAATTAGAAAGTCCATCTCATTTCGAGTGTTCAGAAGGCTTCCTTCATCAGGGCTAGAATATCATAAAAATTGAAATTTCAAATGCTATTCTCTAAGCATCTAATCCAACAGAGTTGGGGGCGTGGCCAGGCGCATGGAGCGGTAAGACGTGCTTTAGCTCGTCTCCCGCTCACAGGGCACTGAACACAGGCAGACAGCAACCATCCGCTCTCCCCTTCGCCGACCATGAGTGACCGGAGGAAGAAGGGGAAGAAGCAGCATAAAACGGGCCCCACGCCGAGGGAGTTGGCCCGTTTTTTCAGCACAGCGGCACCCGCGGCCTCCAAGGCTGCCTCCTCACATGCGACCAAGATGGCGCCGCCGGAGCTCTCCTCGGCACACGCCGATTCTCCTGACAGGGAGCAGGTGAGCCAGCCTCAAGGGGATTGCCTGCCCCACAGCCCTGAAGGTCCCCAGCATCGATCCAGGTGCCTGTCACAGACCTCCCTAAGCTCCCAGGAGGGGTGGGATATGGAGACCTATATTAAGGCCTTACCCACTATGAGGGATATTGAGTCCTGCTTTGCACGCATGGAATCTACTTATAAAAAAGAGATGTCAACCTTAAAGAGGGACTTAAGCTCCAGGCTAGATGACATTGAGCAAACCGCTTCTGACATGCAATCCAGAATACAGCTGCATGACACCACTCTGCAAGAACACACAGTGCTGCTGCACCAATTGATTTATCAACATGACGATCAGGAGAATAGAAACAGGCGCAATAACGTCCGCATTAGAGGCTTGCCTGAGTCTATCGAATCCAAAGACTTGGAATCTGCTGCAATTGCGCTCTTTAACCAGCTCCTAAACAGACCTAAAGACTCCCCTATCGAGCTGGACAGGATCCATAGAGCATTAGGGGCTAAGCGTCCGGATAGATCCAGCCCCAGGGATGTCATCTGCAGGATCCATTTTTTCAAGATAAAGGATGACCTCATGAGAGCGGCCCGCACACAAGACGCCATCTTGTTTAACAACGCCAAAATCCTACTCTTACCAGACCTCTCTGGACACACACTCGCTTTACGCAGGGCTCTGCGTCCTTTGTTGGACATGCTTCGCCAACACAACATCAAGTACCGGTGGGGTTTCCCTTTTCAACTCATTGTGCTACACGAGGGCAAATCAGCTGTATTTCGCTCTCTGAGCGACCTTCCATCATTTTTGGGCAAGTTGGAACTTCCTCAGGTTTCTCTCCCGGACTGGCCACTCAAGCCAACCCTACCCGGATTTGTAGC